AGATTGAAGCTGTACACCCTAAACCCTTAACCCTAAATCCTCACCCTAGACCCTGAACCCCGCCGCAGGGTTTACGGTGTAGGGTTCAACGTTTCGCCGAGCTGGCCTCGCCAACTTAATTAGGTTAGCCGGGCTCATGTTTACGGCTTAAAGTTTAAAGTTTCAGGCTTAACATTTCGCCGAAAAGTCCTTCAGGTTGTCCGTGAAATTAGGGTAACCGGATTTAAAGTTTGAGGTTGAAAAGCGTAATGTTTACCGTTTCTCCGAGCGGGGCCCGCCAGATGACGGTTTTAAGGTTTTGCCAAGTTGGGGCCCGCCCGGTTAGCCGAGCAAAGCCGACCTGGCGGGGACGCAGCCGCCCGAGAATTGGTTCTTTTGGAGATTCCGCTTGCTTGCCTGGGGTGGTGGCATATGTATCTTCTCCACCCCAGGCGTTGGCGGCAGCCTCAGCTGAGCTTGAGCGGTGGTTGCTGTTCCTGTGGTGTTGGGATTTTTGGCGACTGGTGGCCGACAGTAGCGACTGGCTGCTGCCTCTTGGTGGCAACGCTGGCGCTTGGCTCTCTTGGTCTTGCGTTTCCGCGTGCGGTGCTGCCGCTGTTGTGTGCTGGAGGTGTTGCCGCGCGCCAGTGCAAGTGGAGACACCGGTGACGCAGGGGTACCAAAGGTTGGCTCTATAAAACTGGGCCTAATGGCGATCGCGTTGCAGACACTGAGCACTTCCAATGAGAAGTGCGAGGAGCGAAAGCGACCCGGACTCCACAATCGTCCCCGTGGGGGGCTGTCATTGGCCTGGCTCTCGACTGTTGTCGGTTGACCTCTATTAGGAGGACCAGGTCGACCCGCCAAATTCATGTACTGAGACCATTTTACCCCGACTCCGAATCTGAGGCGAGGCGGTGGCGATTCCGAACCCTTGCGAGGCCTGCAGCGGGGACCTGTCGAGCGCCATTGCTCTTCTAGCCGGATTCTAGCCACCGCCTATGAGTGTGATTCCGACGTAATTGGAGCTCCCCCTCTTTCCTGACTCCTGCAAAGGTTAGGGTGGGGACCTCGGAAAGTCCTCAGGATGGCACAGCTTGCTTCTATTCGTCGCGCAGTGGAAGAGCAGAAGGCAACAAACATGAGCCAAAGAAGGAATTGCCTCATGGCCACAAAGATGATACTTGTCCCTGATGGGTCCAGACGGCGTCCGCGTGGCGTCGGCAGACTCGCCTCCCACCATGACAGCGCGGCCATCACCGTCCTGCTTGCGTGCTAACGCCCTCAGGCGACTAACAACTGGCACAGCGATCTGCAAACCTTGGCTTCTTGCGAGCTGACTGTCTCGCCTATAGAAGTACCAGACAGCCAAGCCCTCATCTCAGCCACCTGCCAAGCCAAGAGTCCCGCAAAAGATGGCAGCCTTACGTCGCGTGTCATTTGAGAGGCCCGGACATCCCACATCCCGCGCGCAGTGCCCCGGAAAGTGCCCCGCCCACGCGCCGGAGACCAACCGAAGCGATGAAACTCTTGCAAACTGCACTAACAGCACTGAAGAGCTGAGTGCCCTCAAAGCCACTATCCTCCGAATTCAAACGCCGATGAGCATACAGAGAGGCCCATTGCGCCAGAGCCCCTAAAGTCTTCTGCAAAGCAACAATCGCGAGGTCAGCGCAATGGTTGAACACGAGAACCTTTTGCAGCTCCGGACTAGACCGATCAATCTGAGGACTATGGCCCACCAAGAAAGACTTGCGTGGGAGCCGACGAGAGAGGAGGATGAGCCAGTCGGTGAGCCATCTGTTCCGTCCTTGCCAGTCGCACGCACTCTTCCTCAGGTCTGGACCTGGGTTGAATGCCAACAGTGACGCCAAGCATCTCAGCAGACTCATGCAACTGGGGCTGCGCGTGCCGAGCACTATGAGGAGCACGCGCGAAAAACCGAGTTTCGACTCATTGGTCTCGTGACGCGTGAGCCTTGGAAAGCATTTCCAAACTTGGGCAGCACGGCCAAGAGCAGGCCTAGAGCGAGCAAGAAGAGTCCTGTCATCGACGAACTCGGTTTCATCAACACGCAAGTGAACATCCTTAGCCGGGAGAGTACGCAGAAGGGCCGGGCAAGGGCCGGCCGTGCCCACAGGTCATTTTGGGCAATGCCCCAGCGCTGAATCACGGGGCGCTATGGGTAGCACCAAAACTCAGCCACCGACGGTGATGACACCATTGGTCTTCGATGAGAGACAGCGCGAAACAAGGAGATGCTCAAACGAGCGTTGGTGGCGTCGAAGGCTTTGCTATAGTCGAGCATCACTCCAAATGGCCGCTCATGCGGCTCATATTCCAAGTGCAAACATGCCACTAAGGTCTCAGCATTTGACCCCGGACTCCTCCACCCTGAGTATGCAAAAGCGGAGAACCAAAGGAGTCTCGAAAAGCCTGTAGGCGAAGGCGGCTCCACAGTCTGTAGACTATAGGGCCAACCGCGATGGGTCTGATATCGCCTAAGCAGGCAATGTTGTGTTCCTTTTCTTGAGGACAAAAGCTATGCGCCAATGGCATATGCAGTCCGGGAAACGGCCTCGTGTTAAGCAAAGCCGCCAGTCGGTTTATGGCCTGGACAGGAAGTAGCGCGATCAGCTGAGGCGAAAGCCCGGTCCCACGGGTGAAAGTTCTCCCCGCCAACCAACACGCCAGGAACCAGGAAGCAAGGAGAACCATATATCAGTCAACTTCGCTCAGTGTTTCATGACTGTGCATTGCCACGTATCAACATTTATACCAATGGCGGCCTGGCAATGTCCGGAGGAGCAGTCGTGAAGCTGCGCCCTGTCTCAATGGGCTGAGCCCGGTCGAGAGTTCGTTATCTAGGAAAGGCATTACTGGGCTGCTCTGTGTATCTAAAAGGGCAGAGGTGCGTCTAAAGCCATTCATTCTACTAAGGATTTATCAAATAATCTGTAAGGTGCAACTTCAGTGAGGTGTGCCCACACTGTAAACTCCTAGGAGATTCCGCTGTCGACAACGCCTCAAAACACTTGCATACTGCCAAAATGAACCCACAGAGGCAGCGGTTTTGGATCGGTGCCTGTCCCACCTAAGTGAGACCCGATTTTTGGAAGTGTTTATGATGGAAAGAGGAAACCCTTGCTTCAGGGAACCTGATCCTAGAAGCCCAAAGCTGCCTGGTAGCCTGAAGAAAAGAATATGGAGCCGGAGATGGGTTTGGAATAATAGAGCAACCAACAGCGGCGATCCTCCTAAGTTTGGCGGTGGATAATGCAGCAGCCAGGGGCTGTTTGTTGGCCGTAGGTGCGACGCCTCGTTGCCAAGTGTTCACTTTGTCAAGATGGCCGACATGCTGATAGAATCCCTTAATCATAGTCGGGTGACTTTAGATGCCCCGCTGTCTACCAAATGACGAAGCAATGTTGTTTCAGGAGAGATTATCCTTTCACACAATCTCGGAAAGGCTTGTCCCTCGTAAGGTTTGTCTACCTCTGAAGGGACTAGAGGTCTTCTTAACTCCAAACTGATCACCTGGTGGTCTCACTCTAGGGGTGCTTTAGACCAGTTTCGTATTCGTCCAGAGGTGATCCCGGGCTGATCATCTGTGGTATCATCGCTCAAGTTCCCATGGTTCCGTTATCGATGTTGTTGTAAGTGCTGACAACCCTTTTCTGAGATGCGTCAATCAGCTGCAGCTTCTCCTCCAAATTTTATGTTTTTGGGACGGCTCCAGGTGGCAAAGTGTTATTGGCCCTTCTTCGGACCGTGTTCCTTCAGTAAACCCGGGGTGATGGAACAATTCTCTTGGAGGTGGACCTTCGGATCCCCGAGAGTTGGAATCGGCCATGCGTATGCTTGTTTGTATTCGGCCATATATCCGCGAAGAGAGGGGCACGCCAACATGTGCCGGCACAGATCCATGTCGTAATCGCATCAAGGTCAGCTCCGGGTGAATGGTCTTTTTTCTCCATCCTGAAGGCTGCAGGTCTTTCTCTGGTAAGTGCCAGAAGCTCTGGCTGGCCAACACCGTCCATCAATGAAATGGAGAAGCCGGGTCCGAGAGCCGTTTCCATTCCTTCATTGAAACGAGTCAGTAATCCTCCTTCAAAGATTTGATTAAAGATTGACATGGATACTTTGAGGTTGGTGTAACCATCATTGCAACATTCAAGACCTTGGAGGCTTTACTCCGTTGCTTCGCTCTTCCAAGCCACGTTGGGCATCACCATCCATCCCCTAGGGTGGCCTTGGTTGATCCTGCGGGCTCCCTCCTACTGGCGGTGAAGACCAGCAAGTGAATTCTTTTTGGGCTTTAGGAATCCAATGCCAAATTCTTGCCCAAGGGCGGAGTGCGTTGAGGTCAGTACATGTCCCGGTGTGCCCAGTGATAACATGTGTGACGTAACGGGTACATGTGCAGTTGTGCGAATCATTGCGCTGGCTCAAAGAAAAAAAGGGGCACCACATCAGATTGCCAGAGTCTCTGTAGTTGTTTCTGGCAGCGGAACACCATGAATCAATTTTGCGCACTTCATGACTGCCCACGAATATTGTCATTGCTTCACTTTCTTCTTTTATTCCGCTGTGTGGCGGATGCCGGAGAATGTTTTATGTGCAATCTGGCTTCCAGGTCATGGGAATATAGCATGGCATTTCAGGCTGTGCTACTTTAAGCCCCATGTAAAATTGAAAGTATATGGGGATTGAATTTATGATACGCAAAACCCATCAAGAGTGCTAGATTAGCCGAAATGGCATGAACAAGTAGCTGGCAGTGTCATGGTATGTCATGGTTGTGCTGACCAATTGTTTGCGGTGCAACTGGCGTAACGGGGCCAAAGTAGCAGATGTGCAGCCGCGCCGCGTGTTTTTACTGGTTCGCGAATGATGATAAAACTACATTCTGCAAGGGGAATCTAGACATGCTTTCCCACGATGACTTCAGAACTTGGCTTTCTAAATCCGCGCGCTGGCTTTCTCTTACATAAGCTTTGCTACATGTGTTGGCCTGCAAGGTACAAAATACAGCTGCGCAAGCAGAACAAGCTCATGCACATATGCTTGTGCGTTCTGCTGGATCCCCGTGTAGCATGTGCAGGATGTAGCTCAGACAGAAATCAATTGAGGCTTAACTTGGCAGAGGAAATCTCCATCGAAAAGAAGATGGTGTTTCGCTCACCTTGACGATGAGAACTGCAAGCCTTCAATCGCTCAAATGCACAGGTGAACCGAAAAATGCCAGCGCTACTGCTTCAGCTCTTGGACAGGCCTATCGCAGAGTATTTGAAAGCATGTTGTAGTGTGCAGAGCCAGGAGTCAGGAGGACTTGCTTTTGGCGGTCCTCACCTTCTTGAAAAAGCTCAGCGTATTCGAGGAAAACAAGGCTGGATGAACAGGAAGATATCTTGGGCATGTGCTTCTTGGATGCGCCTTCGGGTTCGCTTTGAAGGATCAGATTGCCGTCCCTCAGACCTTGAACAACTTGGTTAGACTGGCGCAGCATCCAAACGCTCGAATCTCGCTGCTGTCGCTTCGACTCCTGCACTATACTCAGACATTTACGATGCTTCAGCGTGCTGCGTTGTTTCGCCGGGTTGTGCCAGGTTCAATCTCTCTTTCGACGAGAGAGTGCGAGCAGCTTTGGTGGAGTCGGGTATCATCAAGCTGCTGGTGGGCCGTCATGTTTCCACAGGCAAGTAATGGCTTATTGTGCAAGCCAGGTGGATCTTCTCAAAAACCCTCCATTCCGGCACATAGTCTTGCGGCTGCTGTGTGCAGCCCAGTGTCAGCTGTGTCCCATGACATCATTACCTGCCCATGCTGTCACAGAGTCGGAAGCTTTCCGAGGTATCATTTCTCAATGGACGACCGCTGCAAATCCCTCATGGCATATCATCGGGACTCGATTTCCGTGGTGCGTGGTTCTGATCTGGCCACTTGGGCGTCATTCGCCCTTGGAGGATGGCATGATTATGCTGCTTCAACTCGTCGTTCACTTCCCCGAGCCACGAGTTGGCAAGGACATATTAGATTGCATTGTGCTAGCTGTTGGTCTTTGATGTTTCCGCTTGTGCAGCCAGAGCACTGTGCTTCTGAACGTCAAGGACTTGGTGGCTTTGATGGTGAATTTGGCTGCGCATGCACGCGCTGCGGAGGCTTGTTACAGCCTCCCTGGTCCCTCCTTCTCGCTTTGTTTGTCCCTACTCTCAGTTTGTCCAGGTCATCGTACAAAGCGGCCTATTCCCAGCCATTGTGCTCCGCGTGCTGAAGCACAGGGATCCTTTGCTCTGTAAGGCGGGTGCCTACTGCTGGGTTGCAGATCCTCGTAATCCTCCTACAACTGTTGTTACTCCAGTGAGAAAAGGGAAGAGTAGTCCCCCTTGTCTATGATTCTTTACACTGAAGCTGCAGCAGCTTCTTCCACAGCTGTCGCAACATGGGTCGAAGCAGCGAAGGGCTTCAGCAGAAAAAAGCGGCATGGCGGCGGAAAGGGGTTCCTGGTATGTTGCAGGTGATCAGGCACGTGGCTTCTCATCAGGGCGTCCTGGAACAGATGTACGAAATGCTGCAGAGCGAAGATGCCACGTGGATTGGACCACTTTCTTCCACCTTTTTGCGGCCTGTTTTGCTTCAGAAAAGGTCCGGATGGCCAAGTGGATGCATGAGTTCGTCCGCATGGCTGTGTGTTCTGTTGACAACCCAGACATGCTGGTTGAGGCAGGTGGGTTTTATCATCTCTTAATATGTCCCATCATGCCCCCGTCTCTGCATGCATGGGCAGGTGCTCGGAACTCTGGCCAACGTCACCCTGGAGGAGGTGCTGTGGGGTGATTCGTTCCCCCACCCGCATGCTCGTTCTTTTTTTTTGGAGTTGTAGCTAGACAGGATCCTAAATGGGCAACTTTTGTCAAATGCCGCAAAAGCACCTGAAGCAGCAACCTGATGTGAACAGTTGGAGGTTCCGTGGGCCGAGCTGTGCGAGGCTGGTCTCCTGGAGCTCATGACACGGCTCTTGGTGCCCAGCTTCTCAGAGGCCTGTGCCACGACGTTGTCTGAATTAACCAGGTCGTGGCAGAACGGAAAGACGTTAATCATGTGTCTGCAGATGTCGGTATGTATACTTATACACAGATATTTGCACATGTATGCAGGCGGTCGTACATTTCTGCAGCCAGCAATGCCGCAGAATGCAGATGCCTGCGTTCCTGAGGTTCTCATGGGTCTGAACTGAGGGGCAAACACTGGATATCCGACAAACGTCGAGACGTCAGACAGTCAAACGTCGTGGCTTGTCGGCGTGCTCAACATTTTGTGTAGTGTGTGTCAGCGACTTGTCGGATGTTTTGGGCTTTTTCAGCACTTCTTTTCGGACTTGGCAGCTCTTCAGGCATATCGGCCCGAATAAGTCGGGAAAACTGGCAAAATGGGTCAAGAGAGGGAGAACAACTCCGAAAAAGCTCCAAACAAGTTTCGACCCCTTATCAATTTTTTGAACTTTTCGCAAGTGTTAAGTCTTCTGTGGGCGCCAACACGTGAAGGCAACCGTCACGAGCACCAGCACGAAGACCCTGCAGAGGAACACAAACTCCACAAGCACATGCGGACGGCCCCGCCTCTGGTAGTGGGCGTTCACAGGTCGAGCATTGCTCGTCTTCGTGGGGCATGTCGGACTTGTTGGGCTAAGCATTTTGGTTTTCCAGTGTTCGGACGTTTTGCAAAAAGTCACTTTGATTGTTCGGGCTTTGCCCAGGAGGTATGGTTTTTCAGCTTTTGGGGCTTTTGCTAGAATTAAATCCGAAGGATCGAATGTCGACTTTCTGAGAACATCACTTTTAGATTTGCCGGGCCGTTTGCCAAACTCTAAATTTTGTTTTGTGCGGTTCGCGGAACACCTCGGGCATTTTGACTTTCCCGGTCTTTCCTTCAATGCCAGCACTCAGCTCAGAACGCGTCACACACGACGACGCCATACGCAGAAGACACAACGAAGACATTCCACCTTGCAGTCCACTCTCCATTACACCTTCCACCACTTTACACGCTTCACATCCTCCACGCCACTATCACTAACCGCTCCACTAACCACTCCACACACAAATTCGAGGCTCCATCCCTCTGACTGTTCGCACTTGCGACATCTCACGACAGCTACAAGGATGGCGACCCTGGGGGTCGTCCAGCTGTGGCGCGACTCGCGAATGCTTGCGAACGCGTCCCGAACGCTTGCGAACGCTTTGCAGACACGAGCGCAACGAGTTGTGTTCACCTCCTGGATCCCAGCACCCCAGCACGTAAAACACGAACCCTTCTGCGGAGCTTTCGAAAAACACACACTTGTAGCAACTCATTTCTTTTCAATTCCTCAGGCTTTTCGCAACAAGCTTGACGTGTGTTTTCTTTGGTCAAGGCAGCAGAGCCCTTGAGGTTTCGCGTTCACGCGTGTTTTACCAGTCTGCTTTATTGCTGGTGTGGTCATTGATGTCCTGAATTCCTTGCAATATTGTCACCAGATCCATGATGCCGACCTTTCATATGTCAGATCAATTTCTGCCAGCCGGCTCAGACATACAACACATGCGCTCCTCTAGGACGTCCAGCTGACCACCAGTCTCAGACTGAACTAGAATCATGGACGAAGACTGCTGTAGGAGCTGGTGCGGAGGTCCAAAGCATCCCGCGCTTCGACTGTTTGCTACCAGGATAATGTTTTGAATTCGCTTGCTTTGGAGTTCCTCTTCAAAGCCGAGTCTTCGGGACCTTTTCCAAACTTGAACAATTGTATGACTTCTCGTGTCCAGGGCTGACCTCATAATTGCCGTCTTTTGACGTTGGGGTCCTTGTGCGCTCGAGCTTCAACAAACAGCTTTTTCAATTTTTCGGTCTTCCATTCTTGATTCTTCGCTCACTGGCGAGCACCACCCTCCTCGTCCACGGTGGCCAACTCCACGGGCATGGCAGCGATAAAAGCGAAACACATTTTGCGTGATAGCGAAGCACTGTGAGGTGTGCGAAGCAGCAGCTTGACTCACACAAAAAACACGCGTGCGAAGGAATCAAGAATGGCAGAAGGCCTTTAAAGGCGGTGGCCTGGCCCTGAAGGAGGGATTCTAAGCACGGAGGCGCAGAGCAAAGTGTGTTCGCATGGGCAAGATCTCAACACTGAGTGGGCTGATTGATGACCAGTGGTAGCGATTGGTACGCCATCGAGTGTTTGCACTGAGTAGCTAGTCCAGTAGTCGATTTCCTGCGAGCTCAGCAAGAGCCAATTGTCCTGTCTGAGCGGGGCTAGTCATGGACGTGAGCAATCATGAGCATGTGAGGCCAGCTTAAACAGCACTGCAGACGCTGGCCTGCACCAGCCTACCGAGCAGCATCGAGTTGTGGGTGATGGACAGGATGATGTTGTGCTGGAGTGCATTCTCCTAGCCAGCAATTTGGCTTGCTCTCAGGCATCTCCGACTTGTTTGATTGCTGGAATCCTGATTTTCGCAGCAACATTGTGTCCTGCCAAGATAGCAGCAGGAAGCCGCGCAGCACATTGCCGGCTCGCGACTTCCAGCCTTGATGCAGGACTTATCTTGCCTGTGCTAGTTGGATGCTTGACCTGCCGCTTGCATGACATAATCATGAACGAGCTGTAGGGCCAGACGGCTGGCGGCGGGATACTTTGGCTCCAAACATTGCTCATGCACACTGCGACGGCTTTTTCTACAGCTTGGGGACATGGCTTAGAGACAAGATGGGACAAGACAGGGAGCAGAGGGGACAGTGGCATGGCGGTTTGTGATCTGTGCTTGCGGAAGTACTGCTGTCAGAACAGAAAGCGGCCGCCGGATTCTTCCTGTAGGTCTGGGCTAGCATCCACGGCGAGTGCATATCAAAGGGATTTGTTCCAACCCTAATGCTGTTACATGGAAAGTTATGTGCTATTTGCTTTGCCTCATGTTGACGGATGTACAGATATACAGCTAGCTTTGAAGCCGAAAGTCTTTCCTACGTATACTAAGCGAAAGTTACAAACAGTAATCTCACTGAACAGTCCACGTGAAGCCCCAAGGCAGTGTGTACATTGCAGTGCCAGCAGCGGGCATAAGGTTCTGCATGTCGCTGCACACGAAGAAATCTGTTGTCAGCATGTCGTTAGCAGAAGCCTACATGTTTCAACGGTGTTGCTGATGAAAGCCACCTAGACCTAGAAGCTAGCTCTAGCTGCTTCCTCTCCAGCAAAAACTGGTTTGAGATTGGAGTCCAGGGCAGATTCATCGTCAGGAAAGATGCGCTGTAATTCTCGAACACAAGTGCAGGCCACCCAAGGGGGAACATTTTTGGTAGGACAGTTGTCATGCCCCTCTGCTACAAACCAAGAGAGTAAAGGTTCGCCGCAACCTACACAGATTCTTGAGGGTAGGCAAAGCAGTCGCATGTTGAGAGCCTGCGCAACGATACCTGTACTACATCTTTGGAATCCCGTGTTTCCACTGTTTGGCCCGTGGCTCTCATCCGTAGCAGACCACTTCGCATGCCAGCTGAATCGGGTACAATGCTTGAAGCTGGTCCGTCGGCTTCCTGCTGGACCAGTTTTCTTTGCGGACACGTACCGACAATTTTTTGTTCAAGCACCCGCAGTCAACTTCTCCATATCAGCTTTGGTAGACTGACTGCCATAGGCGCAGTTCCTGGTGCCTTTTGTTGTGGAGTTTGTGTGCAGTACAGCAGGCTACTAGGCTGGGGAGGCGAGTAATTCCTAGTCGTTCTTTTGTTTTCTAGGGTTGTAATTTTGGTTACATCTTGGGGGTCTCCATCAGGAGATGCAGATGCGAAATGCAGGCTCGATGAGGGCTTCTAGACAGGGTAAACTGGTAAACTTTCCCACTTCGATTTTTTCACTTTGCCACCTAGTTCTTCAGCAGAGTTTTGATTGGAAAGTGCGAAGACATCAAAGTCCGACTTGGAAGGACTTACTGGTGGAGAAGCGTGAGGACGAGGACGGCAACACTGTCAGGCTGAGTCATACCAAATTGCACGCATGACAAAGGAGATTGTGGTGCAACTGCTCTTTGCATTCCACTGCCTCCTACTTCATGATGAGGTCCCACCCTCAGGCCGTGAGTGATAGGTGCTTCATCAAATTATGATAGCGTATGAACGCATATCTAGCGTGTAGGGGCTTCTCGTACAAACCATAACTGGCCATAATGATAGAGCCTTTTCAGACCCGGCGCTCAGAAACAACTGAAAAGCCAAGGACTGGAGGACAACCGAGGTAAATGGGTCTGGAATCGGTATTCCACTTATGTACAATGAACGTCCTTCATCGTAAACATAAATGACGAAGTCCGACGTCTCCATTTTCGACTTGGTACCATGTCCCTTAGCTGGTTGCGGACAAGGTTTTGGGGCCACTGATTTACCCACTGACCCAGGCCCTCGTTCAGAACGCAATCTTGAAAGCGACATCTTTTGTCCAGAAGTTGGTTTTTCCTGCCGGCTTTTTTGTGAACTGAAACCTCCCGACCACCCGAACCTTGCGAGACTTTCTCCAAGTCCAGCACAGCTCTGCTGCAATCTTGCTTGCGCTTTCCCACCCTTCACCTCAATCGGTGCAGGACAGAAAGGACCCGCTCAACTCACAACCACCAAGTCTTCAAAGCCGAAGTTTTTTGGCATGCTTTCCGCATAGTAGGGGATCAAGCAGTGCACAATTTTGCGTATGTCCCCATGACAGAGTTTGCAATCTCGCCCGCTTCACATTACTCCCTCTCTCTCTCTCTCTCGCTGTCTGTCTTGAAATGCACACAGTGCATGCGAGACATGTCACTGTTTCGGGGTTGATCTAGGGTAACACTTTGTGTTCCTGTAGGTCTATAAGGAAATACCCTAAACCCTGAACCCTAAACTCTCATCCCCAAACCCTAAACCCTAAGCCCTAAACCCTAAACCCTAATCCGGGTTCCAACACTAAATCCTTACCGTAAGCTTGGTATCCCAAAAGCTCCAAGCCCAGAGCAACAAAACTTACCATGCGGTTTAGGCTTTAGGGTTTAAGGTTTAGGGTTTTAGGGTTTAAGGGTTTAGGGTTTTAGCGTTAGGGNNATGCGGTTTAGGCTTTAGGGTTTAAGGTTTAGGGTTTTAGGGTTTAAGGGTTTAGGGTTTTAGCGTTAGGGCTTGACGGTTTTAGGGTTTAGGGTTTGTAGGAGTAATGTTAAGGGTTTAGGGTACGGAAGTGCCAGGGTTTACTGACTGGAGCTTGGTAGGGAATAAGGGATTATGTTATACAGGGATTCTACACTATAATATATGGGGATTCTATGCTATGATATATCGCTATAATATTTGAGGGGCTTGGCACCAATCATTTCATCTGACAGCCGTTGGGCTGATAGGGCCCTCTGAGAGGGCATTTGCTTTCCCACCCAGCCCGCCCTGGTGAATGCTAGTGGCGAGGCATTGCATTTGCAGGTGTGATATAGCACCTCCACGGTGGCACAAGCCGAAGTAGCTGGCAACGCATCCCAGATGTGCTCCTGCCATAGGGTCGGAGGGCGGGCACGGATGTCCAGAATGTCTGTGTCTCTCTCTCTCTCTCTCTCTGTCTCTCTCTCTCTCTCGCTCTCTCTCTCTCTCTCCCTCCCTCTCTCCCTCTCTCTGCCTCTGTCTCTTTCTC